CCTCAGAACAGTTATAAGTCAGCTTCTCCTTCAAGCATCCAGCAAAAATAGCAAAAACCTTTAACTGTGGCAAGCAAAAATGCAAGAAGCCTCAGGTCACACTTTGCCACAGTTTCTCCACGGCAATGTCACAGTCTCTCCACTCACTCTCATCAGGATCTTGCTCTAGTCTCCCTTAAGTCTTGCTGCCACAAGTCTTTCTCGCCTCAAGCACCCAGTGTGAGAAGTACACTTTCTCTTATCCTAGTCCCAACAGCTATTGACGATTTGCAAGACCATGCTGCTTTAAAAGTTCATGTCGGTTCGAATCCACCAGATGCTCTGCCGGAGAAGGAGGCGCAATATCCTCCTGTACCAGTCAGATCTGATTTGACGGTACACACACACAAAATAAAAATAAAAATAAAAAAAATAAAAAAAAAAAAAGTTCATGTGTCTTTAATTAAGGTAGCTGGAGACCAGAGGGGAATAACTATAATGGCTTGGGGGGGGGGGGGGGGGAAGCGCCAACTATTAGATTAACATCACAGATGAGGTTTTGTTATAAGTTCAATTGTTTACAGAAAGGCTTTTAAATTTCTTTATTTAAAAAAAAAAAGAAAAAGAAAAACAAAAATTTCTTTATTTTGTGAAATGCACAACTTTTTTAAAAAAATAAGGGGGAGAAAATTATTCACATAATGGAAGAACCTGAAAGAATTTTTTGTGGTGGATGTTGTAGTGAGGTGCCATCAAGTATGACTCATAGGGACCTTGTGAACAGCCAGTGTGAGCCCTCCCTGGCCTATCCTGTCCCATCCTCATCACCTCTGACACACTAGAACCTATTGCTGAAGTCATCATGTCAATCCACCTCATTGAGAGGCTCTTCCTCTCCTTCACTGACCCTCTTTCTAAGCATGATGTGCCTTTCCAAGGAATAACTTAGCCTAGCTACATGCCCAAAGTAAGAAAGACCAAGTTTCACCATCCCTGCCTCCAAGGAGCACTCTAGCTGCGCTTTTTCCAAGACATATCTGTTGAGAAATAAAGCAGAACCAGTCTGAAACATTTTTTACCTAAGCACACATTTCACTTAGATTTTTAAGTGTAATGCAGAAGAAAATTTACTACAATGCCTGGTAATGAGAATAGGGAAAAAAATGAGTAAAAGTATGACCCTAGTCTCAGAGCCAGATTTTACTTAGATTTTTAAGTGTAATGCAGAAGAAAATTTACTACAATGCTTGGTAATGAGAACAGGGGAAAAAAATGAGTAAAAGTATGGCCCCTATCTCAGAGCAAGACTGCTCCATGAAGGAAAAGTAGGCATTAAGTTGATTTCTACTGAGATGTAAGAAAAGAGAGGCCTAGTTTGAAAAAGAAAAACTGTGGTCTGAATATAATGTTTCATGGAAATGTTCACATCATCTGATTCACTAATTCCTGCTACAGGAATGCAGTCCATTCTTTTAAGAAATCAGAAACAAGGAAGAGCAATGTAGAGATGTCCCTCTTAGAAATCATTCTAATAACAAGAAAAAGAAGAAACAACTGATAAATATAAAACAAATATACAAAAACCCAAAATTACCAAACTCACTGCCTTCCCAAGAAAGATTAATGGGAGCAGATAGCCTCATCTTTTTCAGATTCCAACCCACAACCTTTTGGTTAATAGCCCAACATATATCACACTAGCCATCAGGCATTCCTAATAAAGACCCAACATTTAAAAACTAAGAAAAACTACGTTGTTGTTCAAAATCAGGAAAGGAGTGTGTCAGGGATGCATCCTGTCTCCATACCTTTTCAATCTATATGCAGAGCAGATCATTGGGGAAGCAGGGCTTTAAGAGAAGGAATGTGGCATGAGGATTGGAGGAAGACTCATTGACACCTCCTTTACGCAGGTGACACAAACTTACTTGCTGAAACTGAGTAGTACCTGAAGTGCTTGCTGCTGAAGGTCAAGGACTATAGTCTTCAATACAGATTGAAGCTCAATATCAAGAAGACAAAGATTCTCACCATTAGGCCAACTGACATCAATCACTATGATAGATGGTCAAGATATTGAAGTTGTTAACAGCTTCAGTTTGCTCAGCTCCACAATCAACACTCTTGACACCAGCAGTCAGGAAATCAAAAGACAAACTGCATTGGGAAAATCTGCTGTGAGGGACCTCTCCAGAGTCCTGAAAAGCAACGATGTCAGTCTAGAGACTAAAGTGCATCTAATCTAGGCCATGGTCTTCTCAATTACTTATTATAAGAGAGCTGGAGAATAACAAAGGATGACAGAAGAAGAATCAATGTCTTCAAACAGGTCTGTCTTTCTTCTTGGAGGCTAGAATTTTAAAACTCTTGTCTCACATACTTTGGGCACGTTGCTAGGTCAATGGAGCAAGGACATCATGCTTGGAAGGGTGGAGGGACAGCGCAGGAGAGGAAGATCCCCAATGAAATGGATTGATACAGTAACTGAGGCAATGGGGGTAGGTGTGTTGGGAGTCGGTGAGACTGTCTCACGACAGGGTAGTCTTCAGAGCTACTGTACATGCTGTTTTATATGCCCTCGATTCAAGTATGACTCAGTTTTTATGAACAATAGATATGAACCTGTCTTATCCTCATTATCTTTGACACACTTGAACCCATTGCTGCAGTCACTGCATCAATCCATATGGTTGAGGGTCTTCTCTTTCACCAACCCTTCACCTTTCCAAGTATAATGTTTTGCTCCAAGAAACATGCTCTCCTAGCCACACATTAAAAGTATAA